AGTAGTTGTTTATTTTTCAAGTTCAATTAACTTCCCGAAACGTGTGAGTTTCGAAGCCAGTTGAGGTGTATAGTATACACTCGTCTAGAGTTTCAACATGTGAATAATGTCCCAAGGGCCACAGCTACTGAATGTCCCAATATATTTTTCTTCTGAACAGGTGTGAAATATAATAGCCAAGGAGCGACTCCATACATACACGAGAAGTTTCTGCAATTCATCGATATCCGGTATTTGATTGACAGGTAGAGCACGTGGATTCCGTGTGTGATGCGTTGAACTTGTGCCTAAATTGCACCGATTCTATTTCGTTTCGATTAATATAAACTGGAGGTGAACTATGATTTCTTTAAAAAAAAATAATAAGAGAGATACATTATATGTATATGAGAAAAAAAAAAAAAAAAAAAAAACAAACAGAAGGAGTATATAATTTGTAAAAGAATTTTTAGAATGCTGCATTGGCAGTTCAAGCGATTTTGTTTTACTTTTCGTACTGATCGTAGAAGATTAAGTAGTAATAAAAAAAAATACCCAGGCAGAAATACTGACACTTTACATATTCGACAGAAATAAACGTTCAAACATTGATTTTTTTTTTTTTTTTTTACATTTATGTCTTCTAATGTCAAGTTTAATCAATGGATGCATACAACTGCTTGATTTTCATGTGAATTTGCCGGTTGTACAACTACCAAATTGCGTATACGATTTTTTAGAGAATGCTACGTGTTTTGCTTTTTTTTCCTTGCATGTACATGTACTTTGTAGCAACTTAGTATCTTCATTGATAAGTGGTCTACACTTTTTATTTTATTTCTGCAAATTAAGACTTTATTCATATACCATATGAATATCATAATATACTGACTCAACATTTTTTTTTCACTATTATTATTTATGATGTAGTGATCAGATGATGCTAAATTAATTATCTGATATCATAGGTATTATTTGTAAATGCCTTTACTGTCAATACCTTTAATACCATATTATTTCACAGAGAAAATAACAACTAAAATTATCCTTATCTATGTTTCACATTGAATAATTATTAAGTTCAAAGACAATGTACCTGTACTTGGATTTGTACCTGCGCACTTATAGCATACGTCAGAAATATATTAATTTGCACAATCGACATGTAGTTGTTTTTGTTTTCAATTGAATATGAAATATGAATTCAACAGAAATCAAAATAAATTTATTCAATTGATATATACATGTATACCGTCAACGGTGAACCAAAGTCTACACTGAACGCCGCTGTTATGTTACGACCTTACATGTATGATAGTGAGCTGTTTGAATTAAATAATTTTTCATTTACTATTTCTTTCTAGCAATTAAACCAACATACCTATAATTTCAATTCTAAAATCATTTTTATAAACAAACCATTTTCTTCCGTAATTTTCTTGCACGGTGGAACACGGAGGGTCACCCGATGAAACGGTAATGTCCACGGTGTGACACGGTGCGTCTTTGGTGTAATCGCAATATACGCACACGGTGGAACTCCGTGTACACGGTGTAACACGGGGTATTTTCCACCATGTGTTTTCCACGGTGGGGTGGAAGAAACTCGTGAGCTGTACAGATGAATATAAGTATTCATTCATTATTTAGGCCACTTTTAAATTTTTTTATCCCCATACTGCATATTATAAAATCCAATAGAATCAAAACTGACAGTCAACCTATATCATATGATAGAACATGCTGCATTCGATCATAAATTACATTTTTACGTATCAAAAAAAAATTCTAATTCGGAGAATCACATTAATAATTATTTGTAATCTAAAATACCTATTAAACCTTATTTACATGTAGTTTTAAAACTATTTTTTTCTATAATTTTTTTTTCAGTTTTCCAAAGTCGATTGATTGCAGCAGTAAATATTTTTAATCCAAAATATCTATTAAGAAGTTTTTTGTTTTTTTTTTTAAATATCCACTCCTAAATATTTTTAACTATTTTGTGTAAAACGTGATCGTTCGTGTATGTTGTCAACAATAACATTGCAGCCACTGCACATGCACATGTATCGATCGCCACAAAAAAAAAAAAAAATGATCGATTTCACTGCTGTATTTGGAATAAACAAGGGGCGGAGCTTACTGGCGGCAAGATTAAAGCGGGGTCCGCTTCGCGCATGAGTGTGTAAAGCGAACCCAGAAAGCGAACGCCGGGTTCGCTCTAGCGGACCCAGAGCTGACCCCGAGCGAACGCAGAGCGAACCCGAAGCGAACCCAGAGCGCACCCAAAATTTCTGAAAGCGGACCCGTAGCGGACCCCGAGCGAATCCAGAAAGCGAACCCGGGGTGCGCTTTGGGTTCGCTCTGGTGTTAGGTTGTGTCTGGTCGGTACTGTATACGTATACTTAATTTTTAATGTATTGTAAATACTCGGTATGGGTATGATTATAATTGAAGCATTTTCTCACTTTCAGAACAATGATACCTTTACAAATTAGTGACGTTGCAGAAAGATTGAGTTGTTTGATAATCTTTTCATTGGTGAGCATAACTTTATCTATTTAGTATTATCAATTATTTTGCAGCATTATTCCTGAAAACAGTTAATTCTGAAACACGAAAAGTTTCATATTTAAATAAAAAAGAGTAGAAAAACCTTCTTTCCTAATATATAGACATGTATATATTTACAGAGATCAATCACTTCGCCCGCTTCAGTCTTGTGTTATGTTTGTTTGTTTGTTTGTTTTTTTTAAATGATGTCTTTTCAGTTGTTAACTGTTTCATCAAGGTTTGTTGTCATCGTCCTTTGATAGAAAATTCCTTTTTTTTTCTTGTCAATCTTTATTCACGTACTCAAATGCATATTGCTTTTAGTTTATTATTTTTTTGATCTGTCTTTAAATCTTACGAAATTTAAAACTCACCATAACAGTAAAATATTTCATTCTGTTCATATTTAATGTTATTCTTAATTTTGAAAATAGTAGGCTGACTGGAGTCCACCAAAGAAACAAAAAATAAAATTAAAAAAAAAATAATAATAAAATTAAAAAAAAATTAAATTAAAAAAAATGGTCTGAAAAATAATTTTCACCCGAAAAATGACTGTAGCACTACCAACTCATCAAAAAATAAAATGGACAAACAATCAACCCATACTTCATACTCACCTTAGAGACAGAGGATGTATCATAACTATATCCAGTGGACATGTGCACATAAAGGATTAATTTTTTAAATAATTAAAGCCAAGGCTAATCCGTGTCTAACCATCTGTTTAAGTTTAACCACACCCCCTCCAATAAAATACTGGAACATACATAAACAGAATGTAGTTTATGATCTATGAATTAACCTAGAAAAAACAATTGTAACGTACGATTGACCTTTAAACTACAAACATAAAATTGTCAAAGAAAAAAATCATATTTGTCATGAAGTTTGGTTTCTGGACAGTCATATTTTTCATGCATTGTATCTCAAAAATATGCCCATTTACTCTTTCTTATTTTCTACCTTGTATTTTGTTTCAAATAATGCATTCTTCGGATTTCATATAGCTGCAGAACTGTAGAGCTCTCTATGATTGAGAATATTCGAACAGATGAAGCTGAACATCGAATTAAAGTGCCAAATCTCAGCAAAATATATCCATAAAACAAGTGAAGTCTTAAAAAAGAAATGTTATCTTCAACTATTATTTCAAACTAATTTTAGAATCTTTTTTGTTTGCAGCTGAGAAGTAGTAACGGAGTTGATTGCCCAGCATCAATAGAGAGTCATCAAAATGTCAAAAGCTGTCCAGAAAACTTAATAGGCTGGAACGCAAGAGCAAGTGAAATACAATGTGAAAAATATCATCCCTCCCAATCATGTCCCCTTGGATCTAAGTTAGTGTATCACTGTGTGTTGAATGAGTGGAGTAATGGCACAGTGGAAGTCTGCGCACCACCATGGTTTATTTCAGGTCTGTCAAAGAAAGGAATAAAAAAATACAATGGGGATAAAGTTAGCAATTTTTTTTGTTTGTTTTTTTATCTGTTTGACTTTGTAAAACATTTAGGATATTCATCACAGCATAATAACTTCCTTTGCTTTAGTATAGAAAATAGGAATAGCAAAGTTAACAATATAATTTAAAGTATAAAATTGAAATTGATGTTTTCTATTGAATAAAACGCTTAGTTAAATCACACACACACACACACACACACACACACACACACACAAAGTAAATGTTTGCAATTTAAGGGATTCTAAAGAAACTTAAAAGTGCTTAGTAAAAGAATGTGAAATATATTTTTATCTTTTATCTTTGTCATTTTACGATAAAGTCAAGTAATATTTGTAAATTGATTTAATATTTGATTTATTTTTAGGCAGACGATGAATCACTTTTTGATTTATGTTTTGAAGGATATTGTGCAATGTTTAGTTTGGAAGAAAGAAGAATCAAAGACAACTTTTCATTAGATTGCACCAAATTCAGCGAGCAATGTCCCCCAAGATATATATCAACAGATGCATATAAATGTAAGTTTAATCAGTGCAAAAACAGCTGAGATTGCCATCAACATATAAGATGTGATTAGAACAAAACAGAAAATTGTTTAAATTATCGTAATATACATGTAAGTGTAACTGGACGTATTTTCAACCGATATGCCATAAAATCACTGGATGACACTGCTTGAAGTATTGTACGAGGGTTGATCAAAAAGTTAGCGAACTAATTGAATTACTTCCTTAAAAGAAATAAAATTAGGTTTCATTCTGTACTATTTTTTTTAAACATCACCCTCTGGTTAAAATAAAAGTGCTCATCTGCTACCGTTCTGCCTATGCGCGAAACACGTCGTCCAGCGGTCAGATGACTTGCTCCGTTGCGTTCTGTTAACATCAGATAAAACTGATTTGGTAATAGTTCAAAATAAATACTAAAGGAAAAAAAACAACTTCCATTTATTCAATTGGAAATTTATACTCTTAACCTATTATTCTATTCTTTTTATTTGAAGATAATAGTTGCTACGAACAAGTTAGTCTTGATGAACAAGATGGAGAAACTACTAAGAAAAACGAGATATCAACCATGTACAAGTAAGTACCTTAACTCTTCTAAAAATAATTACATTTTTCTAATAAATTATTGAATGTTTGGAGTTGAACAGTAATTTAAATCTTATGAATCAAGTCCTGTATAAGTAAAAACATACAAACATGGTATTCTTTGGTTTTAGCGATTTTTAAATGTTAAATTTACAACGAAACCTTATGAAAAACCGGATGACTTTTGGTTATGATGACCAAGGGTGCCTCCTAAAAAATGTGAATTTCATGGCTATGTATAAATATAGGTTTTAGCGATTTTTAAATGTAAAATTTACAACTAAACCTTTTGAAAAACCGGATGACTTTTGGTTATGATGACCAAGGGTGCCTCCTAAAAAAATGTGAATTTCATGGCCATGTATAAATATATAATTTATATGCCATCTGGGGCAGAATTTATGCACACATGGGCATTGATTAGGGAAAAAATATATTTAAAACTTTCTTCCTTAGATCTGTTGTTGCCACTGTCTTACTACTGATAGTAGCATTTGTGTTGATATTGACTGGAATTGCAATCTTTCTAAGGAGAAAAAGGAGGGAGAGGAATACAGGTATCTTATTTTTCTTGATTTTTAACACATTTCTCTTCTGCTATGCTGTTAAAAATTACATATCATCTCTTCGGTTATTGTGAACAAAAACTACCATCTCCCTTAGATAAAAAAATTACTATTTTTTAGGTCACCTGAGTAAACTCAGGTGACCTATTGCTATCCGTTTTCGTCCGTCGTCGTACGTCGTGTGTCGTACGTCGTTCGTAAACTTTTGAACATTTTTAGCTTCTTCTCTGGAACCACTGAACCAATTACATCCAAATTTGGTATACAGCATTTATGGGTGAAGGGGAACAAAAATTGTGAATTTCATGGTCCCTGCCCCCCTGGGGCCTGAGGGGTGGGGCTAAAACCACCAAAAATAATGCAATCTTTAAAAATCTTCTTCTTTACTCCTGGACATCAAGCAGTCAAACTGTTGGCATCATTATAAGCATTGAGCCCTCTACCAAAATTGTGAAATTCATGGCCCCAGGGTCAGAGGTTCTGGCCCCAGGGTGGGGCTATATAGATCATATAGTGAAAGTGCATTATTTCTTTGAAAATCTTCTTCTCTGCTCCTGGGTATTAAATAAAGTTACTAAGTACATAGTTATGATGAGCAAGAGTGCCTCTTCCAAAATTGTGAAATTCATGGCCCCAGGGTCAGGGGTTCTGGTGTTAGAGCGGGGCTCTATAGATTATATAGTGAAAATGCATTAATTCTTTGAAAATCTTCTTCTCTGCTCCTGGGTATCAAATAAAGGAACTAAGTACATAGTTATGATGAGCAAAAGTGCCTTTTTAAAAATTGTGAATTTCATGGCCCCAGGGTCAGGGGTTCTGGTGTTAGGGCGGGGCTCTATCGACTATATAGTGAAAATGCATTAATTCTTTGAAAATCTTCTCCTCTGCTCCTGGGCATTAAGGTGATAAACTAAGTACATAGTTATGATGAGGAGGTGGGCCTCTTCCAGAATTGTGAAAGCCATGGCCCCTGGGTCAGGGGTTCTGGTGTTAGGGCGGGGCTCTATTGATTATATAGTGAAAATGCTTTTATTCTTTGAAAATCTTCTTCTCTGCTCCTGGGTATTATTTAAACAAACTAAGTGCATGGTTATGATGCATAAGCATGCCTTTTCAAAAAATGTGAATTTCATGGCCCCAGGGTCAGGGGTTCTGGTGTTAGGGCGGGGCTCTATTGATTATATAGTGAGAATGCATTGATTCTTTGAAAATCTTCTCTGCTACTGGAGACTATTTAAACAAACTAAGTGCATGGTTATGATGCATAAGGATGCCTTTTCCAAAATTGTGAATTTCATGGCCCCAGGGTCAGGGGTTCTGGTGTTAGGGCGGGGCTCTATTGATTATAAAGTGAAAATGCATTGATTCTTTGAAAATCTTCTTCTCTGCTACTGGAGACTATTTAAACAAACTAAGTGCATGATTATGATAGACAAGGATGCCTCTTCCAAAATTTTTAAATATATCTCCTCAGTTTTGGGGGTTCTTGAGGAGGGGGGGGGGTTTGCTTAGCTACGATGAAAATGGGAGCTTCGAACAGAATTTTTAAATCTTGTGGTCCTAGGGTCAGGGGTTCTGGCATAACGAGGGGGGGGGGGGCTTTTGATAATATAGTGGAAAAGTGTTAATTCTTTGAAGTCCATAGTAATGATGATGAGGGTAACTCTTCCAAATTTGTAAATTTCTTGACCCTTGGTCTTGGGTTCTGGTGTTAGGGGAAGGCTTTTTTGAATCTGTAGTGAAAATGCATTGTACCTGTGAAATTCTACTCTGCTTCTGAGCATATCGGAAGCAAACTGAGTAAAAGTTTAAATGATATGAGTAAGAGTATTTCTACCAGATTTTTAAACATCTGGACCATTCGTCTAAGCATTCTGGTCCTGGGCAGGGCTCTATTAATTTGTATTCTACTGAGAGAAGTTATTCCCCTTTTCCATTCATCTTTGATAATTAATCACTGTAAATAATGTATTTGAAAGGTTAATAGAATAAGATAATTATGCAAGAATGTTTATCGTATAATTAAAAAAGTACTTTCTTAGTTTTAATAATCAGGTAGACCTGTCAGTAATAGATAAATAAAAATGAGACAAAAATAACTTATTAAAAGTTCTTCAAAGACCATAAGAGAGGTCAATGCTAGAGGTCTTAATATGGGTTTAAAAATAGTACAGAAGCACTTAGTCTAATAGTTTGTTAATAGGCTGCATGGTGATAGTGTTAAGTGGGGGACAGATTAGAACTCAATTTCTGAGTTGATAGTGAATACTAGACTAATTATTTTGTTGATCCTGATCTTCCTACTTCTCTTGTTTTTGTTCCTGTGCTCTGCCTCTGCGTATTAAGTAATCAAAGTAAGCATGCTAACTGTATAGTTATGATGAGCAATAGTGCCTCTTTCAAAATTGTGAATTACATGGCCTCTGGTTTAAAATACAAACCAAATTCAATTGTTGGAAAGTTGTTACACGATACTCAGGTGACCTATAAGGCCCGTTGGCCTCTTGTTTAATTTTGATCTTTGTTGCTCTTCACAGGTCTTAATGTATTTCATGATGTATGTGTCCCTACATGTTTTTCCTGGTTTGAGATGGGATTAATAATTATCAAAGTTATGTTATTGCATGAATGAATACTTTAAATAAGTTACACGAATTATGCATGATAAATTGTTGATCTTTAAAAGGCGGGTATAAAGTGAATATTTAACCTATACAAATTTTAAAGTCAGAAAAAAAAAAAAAAATACAAAGGTTAGGGAGCATAAGTTGGGTGATTTTTTTGAATTGATTCTTATTTGACCTTACATCAAGAACTCTGCTGCCTTACAACACCATTTTCGGTCCAAACTATAAATAGTCATAAATAACATTTCTGGCGACTGTTAAGCCAAAGAGAGATTTTGATGCAGGAAAACGTGATTGTTTCCAATACTCCTCTTAAGCATTTTTTAGATAGCATAATTACCTTACATTCAACAAAAGTTTCCAAATGATTGTCTCACTGCCTAACCTTTTTTGTCTTGCTTAAACGCGAGAATGCTTCCAAGGATTTGGCTCACGCTGTAGTATGCCGCTACCAATATCTTCACAATGAGTTATCTGACATATCTTTTGGGCAATAAGATACTGTAAACGAGCATATATTACCACACATAAAATATGGTGCAATATTTCTCCTCAACCAATTTGCGCAATTATAATTTTCGAAAAAGACAAGTATTCATTTTATGCTATGTGTTCAAGAATTAGCCGACAAAAAAGGAAAGTTTTAGCAAGGATAAGCACGTGCATTTTTATAAATTAATGTGATGCTTAGTCATTCCCATGAAAACAGAGATTCAAATTTAGACTTTACTCCTATATTTTGAATTGTATTTAGATGTTTTTACATAATTTAAGGCATCTTCTTTTATTTAAATGATTTTATTGCTATAAATTTTTATTGACTTAAAAAATATTGATTTTAAGATACTGATCAAAGCAAGATATTTAATTAAATCAATATAGTTATGTCGATATGTAAACATAAATATGTAGCTATATCGATATAAATATATGAATATTTCTGGGAAAAAGTGGGAAAACATTGTTATTGAATTAACTTTGCAGGGGCGGATATTCTAATGAATCTCAATTCACTCGGGATTCACTGAAAGCTCCTGTGCCATGTATTTGCTATCGTATTCGATTATAGGCTGATACATATTCAAAAATATTTTTTTTAAAAAGGGGGATGAAGAGAAAACAACAGTTAGATCATAGGCATAGTCATAGGGACTATATATTGTACTATAAGCACTTTTGAAGAGGGGAAGAGGGAAAAATATCTCTGTGCCCCTCCTCCACCTTTTCTTTTTTAAATCTGAGTATAGTACAGATCCACTAATATATCCCAATAATTAATAAAGAAGTAACTCGAATTTGGATAATCAAATCTCTGTTTTTTTCTTGTGATATATTTTATTTGGCTGACCCCACCCTTTCCGTCTTTTAACTCTGTGACAAAACTTATGCAGATTGGTTGCAATGAAGCACAGATTATTTTACATTATTTTAAGTAATTAGAAGTTACATGTAGATTTGATGTGCTGATAGTCAATTTTTATCTTATATATATATATATATATATATATATATATATATATATATATATATATATATATATATATATATATATATATATATATATATATATATATATATATATATACGAGGGCCGTTCAAAAATTACGCGGACTCTGCTATTATTTACTCTTATAGACGTCATATAGAATTGAAATTTCACAGGAACATATTTCGTAAAAATTCCAATAAATTCTTGGTAAAATTTTTTGATTTTATTTAATATCTCATAAAAGTATTGCCGTTTGGATACTGCTGATGGTGATTAACGGAGCACGCCAAAAATGTTGAAAAACAAACATGCGGTATCCAAAAATTTATTCATTTATTTTCCTTATTTCACGATATTATTCAACAATTTTCTCTAAAATTTCTATTTATTGTTTTATTATTAAGTATTTAGATTTCTGGCGTAATATTTGAAGTAATAACAGAAATATTGTAATTTTTCTCCGATGTGACCCCTACGAAATCAACTGCAAAAATGACATCTTGTTATTTGACGGAGCAGCGCACTTTTATCAAATCATGTATCATGCTGGGAAAACGCCAATAGAGACCCAGAATATTCCTAATGAAACATGTAGTAAACCAGCGGAATATCCGACACATCTCTACAAAATGTTAAAAAAGAATTTTAGACTGATAGACCTTAGTCAAAAGGCAATACGGGAGGAATGGAAGAAGTTCATCGACAAAATTCTAATCTGGGCTGTTAGGAATGTGATTGAGATCGACTGATGTCAAACCTTACTTCAGAAATATCTGCAGTTTTGGGGTTTAACACAAACTGAAACACACAATGATAGTTTTATAGTTTTTAAGCTGAATCGGAAATGGTATATGGATGTTTATTCTGAGTGGATAAGGTAACCAAAACTATACAGTATCAAATTCTAAGGGAAAAATATTGAGAAAATGAAAGCTCCCATTTTTGAAAATACCCGTGACGTTGAAAGTTTTACTGCGCCGTGACTTCATGAGATGTCCTGTTAAATAACTTGAAATTGATACCAATTTACATTATTTTGATATGAAATTTTGATGATCATATATGAAAAGATTCTTTTATGTTATTTATGACTTTTTGCTTGATTATGTCGTCAAATATATTTTCTGTGCAACAAGTCCGCGTAATTTTTGAACGGCCCTCGCACACACACACACACACACACACCCTCACACACACACACACACACACACACACATATATATATATATATATATATATATATATATATATATATATATATATATATATATATATATATATATATATATATATATATATATATATATATATAAATTCCATCATGATTCACTGCTAATTTTTTTTTTTGAGTTAGGGGTGGGGGGAGGCTGACTGTGGAGATTTACATCCTGTGTTTACCACAGAGTAATAAAACATCAAGTATCTACAGAGTTCATAGCCAGAATCACTTTTATAATATTTTACTTTCTACTTTCGCTTCATCCACAAATTAGGACAAGTACTAAATGTATTTATGAATGGAACATTTTAACGATGGGAAAGGGGGAAGCTGTCCTTAATTATTTCAGTCACAGCAAATTTGTTTTGCATACTTTGCTAGCATATAATTTTTATTTCAAAGAGAGTTTGATGATTTTTATTAAAAAGGAAAAAAATAATAAATTATTACTAGACATGCATATACTAGTAGATTTCATTTCTAATTAATCAGAATGATTTGATTATAATTGATATTTGCTTCAATGGGGACAAATCTAAGTGATCACCTCCCTCTCACCCACTTCTTTAATTTGATTTTCTCTATAACCATACAACAAACACTTTACACATGACACCGTGACATTGTGCATGTGCCGTCAATAAATCTTAGAGATGTGACGTTTCATTAAGATTCCCGCGCCTGCGAAATTAGTTGGAGAACAATAGTTTCAAACTTTTCCCCTAGAAATACTAGCATTTTTGTATCAATTTAACTCTTAATATTAGCATATTTATATCAATTGATCTCTTTAACTTAATTATTAAACATATTTTTATTGTGTGTGTCGAGCTAACTACATCAATCTCTTTAATTTTCATGCCTAAATCATAATTTTTTTATATCGATATTTTTTTAAGTCGATATAACTTTTAGCAATATTGCAAATACTGCAAATTGTAGCATAGTGTCGTTTGTGTATAGATACAATCTATTTATAAAATGATTGTTCTTATACTTCTTATACTTTTTACATTCATGTTATTCAAAGCATTTATTACATTTTGAACTTTTTTTCAGACGAACAGGAAGGAAATCCCAATTCTTCAGATGCACTTTTGGAAAGTAAGTTCAAATAATCTTTTGTTTTTTTTTTTCTTGAATTATTTCCTTCTAATAAAAAAAAAAACATGGTGCAATCACATTTAAAAATTTGAGAAAAAATGTTATCTTGTCTCTAGTACCCTACTCAGAAAATATTCATAGACATGTCATTGAAGATAAATACCTTTAATCGAAAGTAAAGACAATATAAATAAGTAATCTTTGATAATATTTTGCTTTTTTTTCACGAAGTGAAATTCCTTTGAATATGATATCTTCCTGATATGCTAAGGACAAAAAACTGAGATGTCCTAATACAAACCACGTACAAGGAATACATCTCTTTCATCTGCTTTTTTTCCAAATAAATTTGAAAGCATATAGAATTTCATGTTGAAATTTATTTCTAAATGTTTGAAAAGATCGGCAAAATAATTACATGTACATGTATGCTCACATAGAGGAAAAAACAACAACTAAGGCTGAAGATAAAATGTGAATCTTGCCAACAGATGCAAAATAACATCAGCTCTCAATAATATCTTTTCCTCAAGGATAACAGGGTACAGGACAAATTTACTCCAAAAATTATCTTCTAGCAGCATTTAATATAACAAATGCATAAAATGCTACCAAAAACCATTATGAAAAAATGCTTTGTGTCATTTAGTATGATTTTGTTCTGCAGAATGATTTTCAAAAAAAAAAAAATAAATAAATAAATAAAAAAAATAAAAAAATAAAAAAATAAAAAATTCTAATAAGATAAATTTCAAATGTTAAAAAAGTCACATGCATGGCAGTGCAATATGCCTTTCAAAATATATTCCATTTGTAATTTATTTCTGTTCAAAATTAAATATAGATATAAAGCTCAATAAAAAACAAATCTGAATGTAAGCGTTTTATCAAGTTTTAAAAATTCTATCTTCTTTTGTTTTATTTGTTCACCATGGTGATATGTAAGCATCATTATGTAGACAAGATTCAATTTTGGACAAATCTTAAACCTAATAGGACATAACCATTTTTTTTAAAAACGGAATATAGAAAAAAAAAAACCTTTGATAAACAGCAAAGTCATTGTTAGTCAAATTTATATTCAAGCATTCGCAGGTAGTGTTGATTTAAATTGGAAAACATCCTAAAAATCTTGTTCTAAAGACGGAAAAGCCAAGATTAGGCATATTAATAAGCAAACATTCTCAAGTATTTTATGTTGAAGCTCAGAATCCCCGGGGGTAGGATGATGCTACAAGAGGGAATCAGAGTTTTACAAGCAAATATGTACGCAATATTCTTTAAAATCTTTAAAGGAGTGAAAAAGACGAGTAAAATATGCCATATTAATGAATGTATGCAAAGCAAACTAAAGTTTTGTGAAGCCAATATATTTTATTATGAACCTCTGGTTATGTTGAACTACAGTCAGAAATCCAAATTTTGTATTATGCATGTGTAAGCAAAAATGTATCCAAATTAAGGCATCTCAATATTGTGTGGATTCAAGTTTGCTGAAGTTACAATCCCCTCTGCAATGTGGAGTTAAACATTTTTCAAGAAAATTGGAGAACGAAAGTGTCTCTGTGTTGTTGTCCATGAACCTCTTGTTTTTATATCAACTTTTGCCCCTTTTCATTTATCGTAATCTGTGGATATTCAAGATTACAAAATTTGTATATTTAAAAAAAAACGGGGATAGGCACTGTATTTGTGAAAATTGCACTCAACTCATCAGCAACCTGAAATATAATAATTCCAACTATAGAAAGTAAATAATTCACATGCATAAAATGAAATGTAAATAATTGAAATAAAGTACTGTAACTACATGTCATTTGAAACTAGGATATAACATATTTAAAGGTTAATTTCTGACAATAACTTGAGTACGTTAAATTCAAGATCGCGACCGTGACGTACCTTGTTATTATTATAGTATGGGGATATTTTTATTAATAAAGAGAAAGGTTTAAAACGTCAAGTACCTGTGTCACTTACTTATGTAGCAATATACTCTTATCACCTGCATAATTATGGGTTTTATGTCTCTCAGTTGATACGCATGAGCATGTTCGACGTAAGAACAATTTGTAAAACGAAGCAAGCTATTGACAAACAGGTTAGTGAAAAGAAGAATATCAGCAATCTCATTTAAAGTCCTCATTCGCAAGTTCTATGGTCGATATAATGACCTTGTCAGTAAATACAACCCATCATTAAGCCAGATGCTGACTGACGTACTTCATAGTAATTCTTAGGCCATAAATTATACACTAAATTGTCTACGGAATCTTCCGTTTGTTCTCGAAGCACAAGGGGCACACGGTGGGAGTCACCGGTCAGCAGGGAATTCTCACTCCTCCATGGCACCTGATCCCACCTTCGATAATTTTTAGAGATCCGTGTTTGCTCTGCTCCAAATTTGTATTGTTTCAATGGACTTTTGCAGATCGATTACTGTTTATTATCTTCATATTTCTTCCTCAAATAAGCTTATGGCATTACATTTTCATGAACGCATTTTTTAAGACGTCAATACCCTTCAAACTTTGGCTGCAATGATTTCCGCTTAGACATAAGCATGCACACAATGTATACGTCTTGAGAAAAAGAAAAGTCATGAAAAAAGTGGAAGAAGGATGGCATTAAACAAGATCTTTTGATCTTTAAAGATGTAAAATGTTACATGTAGCCTTGAACATTTAGCTACTAGTACATAGTGTCGATGTGTACATATCGTCGTCGGCTGCAATATGTACCTTTTCACACTGCACATATTGTCGTCAGTCGGTACATATTGTTGCCTGCTGAAAAATTACACATTTACATATTGTCGTCGGCGACATTATGTGCCTACCCTAACTACACTTATTTTCGTCCCGCAGAGTTTGCTAAGCGTTCCTGTATGTAGTTTTGTGAATGTCTTTGATGTAAAAATCTCACAGAAGTTTCTCGTAGGCTATTTCATGCAGCGCAGCTGTGACGGTATGTATTGTCATCTTAAGGGGTACTGACCCTCTGATAAAAGAAATAGCTAATCAAGGAAAAATACGAATATTACTTTTAGTTTTCATTGTCAGAGTTTCATTATCGAGACCTTGGAGTAGTCAATTCGAGCAAATCTAATGTACGATGGAAACATTATCTTCTATTTCCTTTGCCTATACTTTTCAAATTGTTTTATTCTATTTAATAAAAAAACATTTATATTCAGTATTAAAAACCTGATAAATTGAATAAGTTTTATCTTTTCAAGGACCATTTTAAAAATTGTTTAATGTTTCAAGTACCGAATGTAGAATTTGTATTAGTATTACATTTTTTTTTCAATGAAAAAAAATATTTATAAGAAAGATAACTCTTGCTAACAGATGTATTCATTTTACAACTACGTACAACATTGTGATATTCTGACTTAGGAAGCAGCGCTCTATTATGTTTTCCATTATGAATTTAATAGGTATGATACTAAATATTATTTTCATATACACTGCATATTTTTAATTCTATGTTGTGATAATAAATCATTACTCTTTCTATCCTCTGTGTTAAAATTTCTTCATATCATGATCCGACATAAACATCATTTCTGAAAAATAAGTAGCGCTTGATACCACATACATGTACTGTTTTCCATTTGAAGATGATGCTATAGCTCTTGTTGAAGATTAATGTTGGGAAGTTTAAAAAATCGTTATGAAATTTAGAGCAGAGGCACGGCCAGGAACACGTTAAGTTCCCAGACAGTACCGTTGTCAGAAGGTTGAGGCTATCTGGTACCGCTTGCAGGGTGGCTGGGCAGGAGTTATCTCTCCATAAGTGCGTACGAGTTATCTCGCATTACGACGGTGATAACCATGAATTTATACCCTTATTAAAAAGTTCCACATCGATCGTTCTCTAGAAAGGTTAATGTTTATTTAATATGTAAAACGTAATAATTAAGAAAAATAAAGGGAGATAGACAATTAAAGTCCTCTAATTGTTGATTTGGGAGCATATAGTGCATTCGAACTTGGGGGGTGGGGGGGGGTGGAGGGCGAGGGGGTATCGTCACAATAATTTTAACATTATACAATATTTACTTGAAAAGAGTCTTACGGAGCTCTCTCTCCCCCCCCCCTCTCTCTCTCTCCACAAAAAATGTTAGATGAAGTTTATTTTTTAAATTATTTTATTATTTTTTTTTATCTATATTATTTTATGTACATATTTATTTTTATTTATTTATTTATTTTTGTAAATACACACCTTTTGTTTATCACTCGAGACTGCGATGTTTTCAGTTACCCTTTATTGTTATTCTTTTCTTCTGACAAACGTTTACTCGCTTTGTCATTCTCGCAGACATGGCACGATAACCGAACGTCTTTCTTCTTGAAATTGAAACTCTTATAAATCAAAGTACAAAAAATTAGGGAATTTTAAATCCCCCTCCATGTATCAGCGAATGCCGGTGTGCAAAGACTCTACATAGACCTTTTATTACTTTATTACATACTTATTTACAATTTAATCAAGGGTCGAAAGGAAGTGTTTTTAATGTCTTCAAGTTCTCTGTGTGTGTGTGTGTGTATGTCTATCTCTCTCTCTCTCTCTCTCTCTCTCTCTCTGACGGTAATGAACCCCTGCCTCAATCTGTGCTTGCTGTGTTCTACATTTAATCTAATTTTCAGACACTCTTAGCTTTCTAGTCATCATATTCTAATTCACCGAAAATTTTTCTGTTTTTTAAAAATATATTTTATCTCATATTTTCACAGTGAACATAACAATTCCATGATAACCTTGTACAATTTACTAATAATGATTGCGTTTATAACATAGGTCCAACTAGTATTTCAAAACTATCCCAAAAATAAAATTCGGCATCTATATGTATGCCCCCTTCCCCCCGATGAAAAAAACTAAAATTCTTAAACCAGTATTTAATAGTGATATTTATTTTATTTAATGAATAATATGAATAAAGGAATGTTTTAACGCCGAGAATCAACATTT